CCCGCTCGTCTGCCGCGGCCGGGCGGCCCTCTCGCGTGTCCGCGCTCCCTCCCCTCCTCCTCCTCCTCCTCCTCCTCCTCCTCCTCCATTTTGCGAGCGCGAGTCTGTGACGAGCCCGGTTCGCCGCCCGCCCGTCGGGGACGGATTCTAGTGGGTGGAAGGAGACGGAGACGCCGCGGCAGGAGCGACGACCTGGGACGCGGGCCGCGCGCTGGAGCCCAGGGCTCCGGAGCCGGAGCGGGGCGGGGGCGGCTCGTCCGCGGCAAATGGAGACTTTGTGAAATAGGGGCTCTTCCTCCGCCCTATGGAGAAGGGGGCGGCTGTTTACTTCCTTTTTTTAGAAAAAAATATTCGCCTGCTGCTCCTCCCGCTTTCACACGCTAACTTGTTTATCTCGGCTGCGGTGGCAGCTGCGGACGGCGGCGGGTGCGCGGCGCCCCTGCCCGAGGTAAGGGGGCTGGGTCGGCGCGCTCGTCCCTCGGGGCGCGGGGACCGGGTCGGCTCGGGGCCGCCGCGGCCGCCGGCAAACTTTTACGTCTCGGCGGTGGGGGCTGGGGGCCGGCGGGGGCCGGTGACGGTGACGAAAGGGCAGCGCGCGGTGACAGCGCTGGCCTCTTCCTCTCCCCGCGCCGCCCTGCCGTTCCCCGGCGGGGCGAGGGGAGGAACCTGAGCTCTGCCTGCGAGTGGAGCCGGGGCCAGCGGGCGGCTTGGGGTGTCGAGCCCCCGGCTCCTCGGCAGGAGCCTGATACCTTTGTTTTCCAAATCTCCCTTTTCAGTTCCTTCCTAAGGGCCGCCCAGTCGCCCATTTTACAGTGAACTCCGAGCCTCGGCGCCCCAATATTTCCTCTACCCTGGTGCGCCCCAGCGCGCTCGAGGTGGTGTCGAGGCCCCGGCGCGCCTCACTTCTGGCGGGTCTGCGCGCTGGCGCACGCGCGAGTGTGTGTGTGTGTGTGTGTGTGTGTGTGTGTGTACATACACTGGCGGCTGACAGCTTGCAACTTGGAGACTTCGGCCGGGGCTGGTGATAGCTGGTAGAAGTGGGCGTGTCGGGGAGAACGCAACAGGTCTGGGCACATTTTTCTTTGACGCCCCCCGCCACCCCTATTTGTTCTTTGCTGTGGCCTCTTTTACAAAAAAATAGGACTCTCTAACCGTAATAATTTGGTACTGCAATTTTTGACAAGTGTTAGTTTGATGTTTGAGGTTGCAAGCTTGATAACTTCGACCTTGTAGTATCACTTAAGACACCTTGGCACGGTTCATTAGGGCCGGTTATTGTGATGGGTTATTTGCAGTTTAAACTGGGGAATAGTATAGCTTGTGGGAGCGTTTTGTCTTAGGAAGTATTGTTGTGGTTTTGCGTTTGAAGACAGCTGTCAAAAAAGCGGAGTGGAAATTCATGAGGCTCTATTTGATACTGTACCTTGGGTTTAGAGATCCTCATCAAACAGGGCAGAAAAGCGGGGAGTTAAGCCCTTAACCCTGAAGATTCCAAGTGGCAGGTCCTCACCCCTTTCTCCGTTATACTCCTTTTCCAGGGAGGGCCAGTGACGTTTATGCTTCTTAGCGTCTTCGTACTAGAAAAGTTCCCTTTTATTGGATGGGATTTGACCGTAATGTCCCAGATGTACTTATCAAAGTCTTGCTATTCTTAAAACATTCTATTGACAGTGTATTACAAACTCAATCTTTTGAGAATAGGTTCAGAATTTGAATAGGTGAAGGTTTAGAATGCAAAGAAAATTATTCTGAACATTATATTGGATACTGTTTTATCTAGATGTATATGATGTAATTTTACAGTTGAGGGTTTTTTAATACTGAGATATTTGGAAAGGATATTTTTAGAGGTAAAAGTTGAGAGATATACTAATAGTATTTCTAGATATAAACAGTATACTCAGAAAATACTAGTACTTTTCTGAGAGAATAGTAGTAGAGGGTCTTTTGTGGGTTTTGTTTTGTGTGTACAGTAGTGGAGATTAAACCCAGGGCCTTCTCACTAAGCTACATCCCTAGCTTCTTTTTATTTTTTTATTTTGAGGCAGGGTCTCCCTATATTGCCTGAGCTGGTCTTCCAGTTGGGATCCTCGTTTTCCAGCCTTCCAGAGTGCTGGGATTACAGGCATGTACCACTACTGGCTTGCACTGAGTCTTAAACAATGTAAGAAGGAAATGTAGCTTAAGTATTAGTCTGAATTAAATTTAGATGTTATTGAGAGTTATGGTAAGGGCCCAGTATCTCTTGTCGTATTTAAATAAGCTAAAATTGTACCAAGACGCTGCTAGACACATTGTTCTGCTCTTTGTAAATTTTAGATGGCTTACATACGCAACGTATCTCACTTCATATATGCCAGATTTGGAGGCTAGGCAGTCAGATAGGAACATCCAGTAAAAAGTATGGTTAAAAGTAAGAGCTTTATTCTGGCCTATTAGAAGATAAGCAAATCAATATTGTTTATTTTCTAAATTAAACATGCATGACTCACCAGTGTGTCATGCTGGGATTAAATCTGTGACTGATAGGAGTTGAATTTAGGAGTGATTGGGGATCGAGAATTTGGGCACAGGATTTATCAAATGTTGTATATATATTTATGTGTCCTCAGAAAAGCCAACAGCTTTGTTTGAAAAGAGGTAGGAATTTTAATAACATTTTTTTGAAATTGAATAATATATCAGTTTGAACCTTTAGAATAATCCAATAAATTACAGCGTCTGTGATTAACAAAGCAACGTGTCCCTTAGTGAGTGGCAGAAGGAATAGCAAAGCTTAGTTTGATACAATTTTGTCCTCAGCTCTGCAGATGCACTGCATTGTACTTTTAAATGTGGTACACTGAATGGGAACGGGGGACATGCATGGCTTTCTGTTCTCGAAGATAGATGCTGTCGTTCTGATCACAAAGAATTTGCTTTGGAGTTAACCAAAAGGTTCATTTAACTGGCTGTTTTTTAACTAATTGGATCAGAGAGAATGTAACCTTATAGCTTATTATGTCTCCCTGTCTTTTCTTCAGCTGATATTTGCTGATGGACTCCAAAGAATCATTAATCCCCTCCAGTAAAGAAGTCCCCAGCGGTGTGCTTGATTCCGAGAGGAAGAATGTGATCGGTTTCTATAAAACCTTAAGGGGAGGAGCTACTGCGAATGTTTCTGCGTCTTCACCCTCACTGGCTGTTGCAGCTCAGTCAGATTCCAAGCAGCGAAGACTTCTGGTTGATTTTCCAAAAGGCCCAGGAAGCAATGCACAGCAGCCAGATCTGTCCAAAGCTGTTTCACTCTCAATGGGACTGTATATGGGAGAGACAGAAACAAAAGTGATGGGAAATGACCTGGGATTTCCACAGCAGGGCCAAATCAGCCTTTCCTCTGGAGAAACAGACTTGCGGCTCCTGGAAGAAAGTATTGCAAACCTCAGTAGGTCTACCAGTATTCCAGAAAACTCCAAGAGTTCAGCATCTGCTGTGTCTGGAACCCCCACAGAGGAGTTTCCCAAAACTCAGTCTGGTATTTCTCCAGAACAGCAAAACCTGAAGGGCCAGGCTGGCACCAATGGTGGCAATGTGAAGTTGTATCCCACAGACCAAAGCACCTTTGACATCTTGCAGGATTTGGAGTTTTCTTCTGGGTCCCCGGGTAAAGAAATGAATGAGAGTCCTTGGAGACCAGACCTGTTGATGGACGAAAACAGTTTGCTTTCTCCTTTGGCGGGAGAGGATGATCCATTCCTTTTGGAAGGAAGCTCAAATGAAGACTGCAAGCCTCTCCTTTTACCGGACACTAAACCTAAAATTAAGGATAATGGAGATGTGATCTTATCGAGCCCCAACAGTGTACCACTGCCCCAAGTGAAAACAGAAAAAGAAGATTTCATTGAACTCTGCACCCCTGGGGTAATTAAGCAGGAGAAACTGGGCCCAGTTTACTGTCAGGCAAGCTTTTCTGGGGCAAATATAATTGGTAATAAAATGTCTGCCATTTCTGTACATGGAGTGAGCACCTCTGGAGGACAGATGTACCACTATGACATGAATACAGCATCCCTTTCTCAGCAGCAGGATCAGAAACCTATTTTTAATGTCATTCCACCAATTCCTGTTGGTTCAGAAACTTGGAATAGGTGCCAAGGATCTGGAGATGACAACCTGACTTCCTTGGGGACTATGAACTTCTCTGGTCGATCAGTTTTTTCTAATGGCTATTCAAGGTAAGATTAATGCTTTTTTATTTTGTAACACTGGTAGTTTAAACTAGTTTGATAGATTAAAAATCATTTACATATATTCTCCAGATACTCATTTTCTTTTTGTGTATTAATAAGTGGGCTCCTGAAAGGGGGCATGATAGTGTAAATATATTAACCCTATATATCTACTTCAAGTTTTGTTGTTAAATATTGACATTCAGTATCCCATTGGCTAGTATTGAAAATTTTATTTGAAAACTTTAAAATAGTATTGCTAAGTAACAAGTATCTTATGGGGAAGTTGTGTAAGTTCAAGAGAGTTACCATCTGGTAATAGTGTAATTATTGTGCATGTTTATTTAGCTGTATTAGAATGTTACTGAATTGAAGTAAAATATACCCTTAACATAGACATAAAGAAAATGTGTGCTACTGTATTTTTCGTGAAGTATTAATTTGAGATTAAAAGATTAAAAATTAAAGGTATTAATAATAAACCCTATTCAAGCTGAACTTTAGTTGAAGAATTTCAGTTTAGAAATTGCTAAAGCTCTGCGTTATACAGTGTACCACATTATAGTATTAGACATAGGTGTTGCTCACAGCATTCCCAACCTGAAGTATAGAAGTTGAGTCTGCTGGTAAGGAATTGGTGGCAGTTTGGTGCAAAACAAAATTTTACTTTCAAATATTTCTGCAGGCTGTCAAGTAGATAATTGATGGCCAAAATTGTTAAGCTTCAGTTCTCAGGTGTTGTTGATTTTTCTTTTTCCTAAGTCATTTATAGGTATAGAGACATTTCTCTCCGACCTTAAAAAGGTCCTTTAAAGTAGAACTGTCAAAAAATAGTTCTAAATTTAGATATAATGTGTTGTTGGGGTTTAAGTTCTGTAATCTATATCCTTAAACTCAAGTCAAATGCTAAGATCGTATGTATATTTTAGGTGTGTAGAAAATATAAAAATGTGGATTGCAAGGCCAACATTGATTAATCATTTTTTAAGAAGCACAGCAGTGACTTATTTGTATGTAACCGTTCCAAGTTTTTTCTTAAATGTTAGTGATGTTCTTTTCTCTATTAACTAGTCCTTGAGCATTTTACTTAAAACTCTTTAAAATTATTTTTTCTGTGAAAGGTATTTTAATGTTGACATGCAAAGAAATGCCTCCGGACCTTTTGTAGGTAGCTTTTCTTATTAGGGAAAAAGTTTCGACTTAAATTTAGGCTATGGTGTGTTCTTCTAAAAGCCTTGTTTCTTATCACAAGAAAAAATACCTTGGTTCTTCTGTGTCTTAAAGCTACTGTGTAGTAATGCATTATTTTAAAAAATACTTTTATTTAGAACACTGTTTCAACTTTTCAACTGTTTCTGAATTAAAGGTTTTAAATTTTTCCAATAAGGAGATTTTGAGTTCTTACTGTATGTACAGTTGTTTCAAATACTTAAAGACATACTGTGTTTTAAATTTTCCAATATCAAAATGTTTACAGTGGATTTCATGTACTTGATTTATTTAAAAGAGTAAGTACAGTTGATTTAACTAACTGTAGGAAACTATTAAATTGACTTATAAAACATTAATTATACAAAGAAAAACAATATATTAAGGAAACTCTTTGTCCTGATAGTCATCATAGTAATATTTTCATTTTGTTATGATAAGGGAAAAAAAATCCATGAACAAAGCAATTTCATTCGTTACAAACTTTCAGTAAACCTTATAAAATCTGGAATTGCAGCGTAAGTCTTAGATGGGCATAGTTATGCTTAAATCATTAATGATAATTTTAATAATTTTATAATACTTTATGATCTACAAAGTGTCTTCATATTTTTGAGCTTTATAACTGTTATAGAGCTCTTTAGAAGTTTCTAACTGGCTCATGATATGATTATTTTTATGCTGATAAGTGATTTGAAATTATCACTAGTTTGTATTGTAGCAAACAGTGTAATAATACCTTAATAAAGGATAGTTTGATAATGTTTGCAAATATCATACATGATAGCCTTAAGTAAGCACTGATTACCCAGAACAAAGCTTCACCCAAATAAATTGAAACAATGTTTCTTTTCTAGCCATCACTGAATTAGTCTATTGTTTCCAGACAACAGCCCCCATAAAACTAAAACTGGTTGCTTTCTGTATATATTACATAACTTCAGCCAAGCATTAGCTCTGACCAGTGACCCTAAGTTATCAGCAACTAAATTAGTGCATGGAGGCAGAAACTTGATTGAATACTGATTTTGACCTTAGATGAAAAAGTACTAAATGACTTTAGTGATTCATTTAGTTTTTAGTGTAAAAATGTATACATTGTAATTTGATTTTTAAAATTGTTACCTAAAATTATTTTATTTAAAACTATTTTATTTTGAATTTTTATTCAAGACTCCCATTTTATTTAAAAAACTACTGTAGGAGATTCTCTTAAATGTGTCAACATACCACAACATCTAGTTAGCATATTAAATTGTAAAATTACGAACAGCATGGTTGAACACAGAAACACATTGTCCTTTTAAGGGTTAAGTTCATCAGTCCTAAAATAAGAGAAACCTTATTGATTCCCAAATCTGTCTCAAGTAAGTTAAACTACTTATTCTAAGTGAATGTGTTTTTTTTAAATATTTAAATTCAATAAGGTTAACATAAATACAACCTTGATGAAGGCACATTTCTGCAGGATTTTATTTTCAACATTGTTTCTCCTCGGCATTAACGGTAAAACTGCTGAAAAGAAACAGAAGTAAAGTTTTAGGTGGAGTTAGAACTTCTATGCTGAGATAATGTTGAATATTTATTGCTAAAATGTTGACTATTTCGTGAAGGCTGGGGTTATTAGAACGATGCAGGAAAAATTCATAAATTTAGTCTTAGGTTGAGTTTAGGGCTCTGGTTATTAGTACTTAATAAGACTACTTATTTAGGTAGATTTAAATGTCTCAGTCATACATGTTTCTAATTTTAAGTAATGAAATTGAAGATTTGTCCAAACACAGGAAAATGAAGCAAATTCTGTCCCTTTTTCACTTTTCTTATTAAAAATATTAAGTTGAATGTTTTCTGAGAAAGGGAGGAAGCAAAAAGGAAGAAGCAATTTTGTTCGGGGTATAATTTCCCTTCTTTTTGATAGATGCTTTTACTACTTCTGTTTCCTTTTTCCTCTCTTTCCAAAGATTTTTGGATGTTTCCGTGACTTTCTTGTTTGGTATTTCTGATATGATTTAAGTAAATGCTAGGAAGTTATTTCTGAATATGACTTGCTTTGGGTATACATTTATTTATTGTTGCTTTATGATGAAATCTTTTCCTTTTTAAAAGAATTTATATTTTGTTATGCCTGTAGGATTGATTTAAATTTTAGGAAAATAATGTATTCAGGTGTGTCAGTTTAGTGTCAGTGATTAATACAGAAATGTGTGAGAAATAGATTTTGTTACTTTTTGTGATGTTTGACTATATTTTCATAACTGATAACAGTTTGAATTCATAATGCTGTTTTGTGTCTGTTTGTGTTACAAATATTTTAATCTGACCACTTCCAATATATTATTGAATGTTTATGAATTTTAGACCAGATGTGTGAAATATACCTTTGCATAAATGTAGATTAAATATTAAGTGCAAATCATATTAGCAGTAAAATTAATATGTGAGTAGAGATCACTTTAGAGGCCTTTTGAGGTTTTAATGGAGAGATTGGATCAAAATAACATCATGAGTGCCTAATGTGAAAGACAGAGTATCTGCATTTAATTAGTTGTATAAATTTTAATTTACGCTGGCCTGCAGGTGATTGAAATAGCAGTTATCTTAGAAAATGTAAATGTCATTTACATTACATTTAGAATAGGTTTGAGGAACCGTTCTCAGAACACATTTTTTTCTGGCTTTAGTGATTATATCTAGTTTAAAATTAGTAGTATGTTCGCATTATGTCCTGTGTGAGCAAATTAAATAGGCAAAACAGGTTTGTGTTGAATAGCATTTACCCTTATGGCGTCATCCTGGTAGTGCTTTCGTCAAAAATAATGGTATACTGTGATTTTTATAGGCATTTCATAAGTTAATGGGCACTTGCTTCCATATTTGAGTCAAGTACAGTGTGTATATATTGGTGAACCCTGTTGGATTAAGTTTTCAAGAACTATTTTGTAAAGTTAAGCTGTAACTGGAAAAAAAAATCACTGACCTTACTGAACAAAGGTTTTAAAAACCCATGCATTTCTTATATCTGTAGCTTTAGAAAGCCAACTATTTTTCTTACGGAATATTCTACCCAGGATTTGTATTTTTCAAGTAAGCAAAAATATTCCTAAGGAGAATTGTGAGTTTAACAAAGGTTCATTAAAGCCAGGAGTGGAGTCTCACACCTATAATCCCAGCATTTAGGAAACTGAGGCAGGATTGTTGAGAGTTTTAAGGTCAGCCTGAAGTACAAAGCAAGACCCTGACTCAAAAAAAAAAAAAAAAAGAAAGAAAGAAAGAAAGAAAGAAAGAAAAAAAGCCCATTAAGCGTTCCTTTCCTTTTTGAACTGCATGTGGTCATTCCTTCTCTGCTAAGATGGATTAGGGTGTGACTAGCAATGGTGATTCTCTTCACTTTACATATTACAAAAAAAATTATAACATTTCAAAACTAGCTGTAGACAGTGGTTTCAGCCTCCGGGGGTAAGGGGCAAAGAGTGTGGTGGAATGGGGAAAATATGTTTAAAAATACCAAGAACAGTTCCAAAAACCAAAATTTGGATCACCTGTTAGGAATTCAGAGGTTTAAGAGAAATTTGGGACTGCTTATAAAGAGAGGGCACTGACCTGGGACTACAATGTTTTTTTAATTTAAGGTGGAAATCTAAAGCTGATCATAGTAATATAAGCCTGTTATATTCTTGTCTCTTGCTATATTTTATTACCAAAATAGGAGGGGGGGAGCATTTTCCTTCCTTTTAGCTTATTTCTACTAAAATCTAGTCCATATTTGTCCTGCTTTTATTTTGGCAGCTGTTTAATAA